ATATATATATATATATATATATATATATATATATGTGTGTGTGTGTGTGTGTGTGTGTGTGTGTGTGTGTGTGTGTGTGTGTGTGTGTGTGTGTGTGTGTGTATGTGTGTGTGTATCTGTGTCTATGTCACGACGTGGTGGAATTCAAGCGCTCGACAATTTATGGGCCTATGGCGTTTTCTGGTTCCAAGCGAAGGAGATTTAAAGTATTGGATGCTTCTCTGTGGGTGGTGAGGTCCCCGTATATGAGTGCCTTGTCTGTGTGTGTGTGTGTTACGACGTGGTGGAATCAGGCGCTCGACAATTTAAGGGCATATGGAGTTATTGGTTCCAACCAAGGAGATTAAAAGTAATGGAGGATGCTCTGTGGGCGGCACCGCACGCCTGATAGGAGCCCTCTCTCGCGGCGGAACCGTGGGCTACCTGCGCTGCGCGATTGCCCGACTAAGGCACTGAAATCTAGATAAGAAAGAAGGTTTTATTCCGAGGTCCTTGAGATTAGGCAAGTCAATTAGTAAAAAAGCCTTGCACCTGTGTTGTATTTAAGTGTAAGAACCGATATGATGCTGCAGTGGGCCGAAGTTTTCACAGTTAAATTGTTTCCCTTTTAAAACATTTGAATGAAAGTGTTCCTATGCCCCCCGCAACACAATTTAAATCATTAATATGGCTGGCGCTACATGTCAAGGCCAACCCAGGCTGAAAGGGATACAACACCCCAGCAGAAAGACTGAGATACTCAATTTTTTAAAAGTATTCTTATTCATAAATATATATATATAATTATTATGAGTATATGTAATTATTATGTGTGTGTATGTATATACACATTATACATTTTAATTAAAGATATTGCTTTCCTTTGTGTGTGCAAATTGGATGCTACTGTAGTCTAAATGTAGATATCTAGAGGCTCCATTAGAACATAATATCAATACTCAACAACAATAATGATGAATATTTTCTATGTTAAAGAAACACCAATCCATATCAGATGAGGGGAGAGGGTAGGGTGGGGTGGATAAGAGTTTGAGTCTTGCTAGATAGAACTATACTCGGTTTAATTCTATTGTTGTAGTCTTCACCTAAGATCCCACAATCAATAATTCCGGTTCACTTAAGATTCTGCTGTTAAAAAATAAACTAAACAAAGCAACAACAAATTTTTACTACACAAGAGTCATCACTAAGATAAATTATCCCCCTCTGTAGTGTAATAAGGGACTAAAAACGCTGCTCTCCATATCATACTTTACTGAACAAACAAAAAAAACCCCTTCAAAGGTTATCCACCCTCATGCATGCGACCAGGGTGCTGTTATCTCTCTTTAAAAAAAAAATATTTGAAATCATTGTGCGCTCCACTTTGTGAAAACCAGGAAACAAAATTATTGTGATCAATAATATTATTTATAGACCAAGACATACTGTTAGCAATTAGATAAAGCAAACATCGACCCTCTTTTGTGTCCGCTATTCCTTACACATAAAGTTAGTTATGGCACACGCCTAGAATCATGCAATCATAATACCGGTATCTTAAATTCAGTTTAAAAGTATATTTTTATCCATTTCTTATAATTAAATATTTTAGCATCTTGAAAGATTGTCTTTATAATTTGGTATGTTTGATAATTTTATGTTACTCGGACAAGTTTTCTTCTTATTTTGCACATCTTTTTGATTTTTAAACTAGATTATAACATAAAACTCTTAAAGAATTGAACTGTCCGTATCACACACAAAATTTTTTTTTCTCCCTGTCATTATCCGTCAGCCCGTCAGTTGATCACAATCTCTCTCTCTCTCTCTCTCTCTCTCTCTCTCTCTCTCTCTCTCTCTCTCTCTCTCTGTCTGTCTGTCTGTCTGTCTGTCTGTCTGTCTGTCTGTCTGTCTGTCTGTCTGTCTGTCTGTCTGTCTGTCTGTCTCTCTCTCTCTCTCTCTCTCTCTCTCTCTCCTCTCTCTCTCTCTCTCTCTCTATTTTATTTAATTTTTCCCCATTCTCCTTCGTCCCTTCCCCAAGGCCCGCCCCCTCCTCTTTCATCTCAGCCCCATCCCCTCTTCCTTGCGTGCATTTCCCCACCCCGCCCGCCCCCACAACGTGGTCCAGCCCGATAAGATTCTATAAAAAGAAACGCCACAGTTCGTGATTTAGCCCACACTCGGTCGCCATATTTGATCCCCACCGCGGCGTACTGCTCGTGGCGCCGCGAAGAGAGAGAGAAGGCTCCATTAGTTCTAAACTCCTTGGTTCCAACTTAAAGTCTGTCCTTTCACTTTGCTTTTGGTGTAAAAAATATCCTTTTGTCTTGGATACAAGTCAAGATATTGGCCATTGAAGCAGATGGGGGTCGCCTGGTTTCTGAGGTAAAATTGGCAAGAAAATGGCCTCCAAATTTGAGTTATTTCCTTAGCTTGATAGTCCGTGGTAACCGAAAAATGTACACCTTTTATGGCTTTAATCAACATGCTTTAGTAAAAACTACACAGAAATATGTTTTTAATTGGCGTGAAAGGTGTTGAGCCAAACACGAACATTCGAAAAAAATTCCCAAACCTGCGAAAAAAAATGCCAGTTTCTTGACATTCATTATTTTGACGAGCGCCTGATTTCACCACGTTGCCTCATATAAATATATAAATATATAATTATGTATATATATATATATATATATATATATATATATATATATATATATTTTTTATTTTTTTTTTAAATTAAAAAAAAAAATACATACATATAAATATTATATATACATACATATTATTAGATGTGTGTGTGTGTATTATTTGATATATATGTAGGCCTATATGATATTTTTCATTATATATATAAACCTGCCTTCTGCCCTGTCTTAACCGAATCTCTCCCCCCCCCCCCCCCCCCTTGATAAAATTTCCTGATCTGCCTAAAATGGAAATCTGTCCAACGCGAGATCAGAAAGAAAAACCCGCTCCCTTCCGCGGGTTTCACCTGTCTCAGATGGAAAATATTTTGCCCGGTCAGCTCTAAACTATACGCCATGCCCCCGGATGAGGAAGGGTGCAGTTTCGGGGAAGATCAAGGACCCTACAACAAGCGTACCTCCTTGGGGAAGATCTAGACAGTCTGAGTAGTATAAGAACCTATACGTTCTAGATAAGAACGTATAGGGGAGGTGTTACCTGAGACGACCTTATTACCAGGCCAAGTCAGCGAGAGTAGGTCACACGAGTTAGACCGATCGAGGGTAGCTGAAGTAATCTTCTTGCTTGCTCGTTCGTCCCCAACAAGGTCTTCTCAATGTTACCCCTGAGCGATGAGATGGCCAGGGTGGTGTGGGTGTGAAACCGTCACAGTGCCAGTGAAAATGCCCGAGAAACGAGCCACCATGGAATCTTTCCTGGGTAGCCAAAAGCCAGAGGTGTGAAATTAGTTTGACCAATGCCTGCAGCCCTGATCGTACGACCGGCCGAGAAAAGAGTTTCTCGAATCGTTGTTACATGATGGCAGTGAGGGGTAGCATTGATTGACTGTGCTTGTTACACTGGAGGGTGGGGCTACGGATAGAAGCAAAGGAGATGTCCAAACTTCAAACATTTCTGTTTTTAATAGGTCAAACAGTGGTTCACATTATGGGGTAACATCTACCCCCAAATCACCCCCCCCCTACCTATCTTAGCCCCTACTCCCCCCTTCCTCGCTCAGCAGCATGGCTATGGGGATAAGTTTAGAGCCGGCGGAACCAAACTTGCGAGTATTGTTTAAAATCAGGGCTGAGCGGGCAAAGCATTTTCCGTCTTAGACAGGTGAAACACTCGGAAGGGAGTGGGTTTTTCTTTCCTTTTCCGCGTTGGACAGGTTTCCGTTTTATGCAGGAAGTTAAAGAGGAATATATCAAGGGGGCTGTTATCCGCTTGATTCTCACTGATTATACTATCATTTTATTATATTTCCGTTAAGGCAGGTTCGACTGTAATTAAAGAGGAGTTTATGAAGGGGGAAGCGGGGAGATTCCGTTAAGACAGGTGTACGTTTTACCAGGTTTCCGTTTAGGCAGGTTCGACTGACGAAAACACCGGTATGTGTAAACTTATACATGTAATGCACAATATCTAACTCTACTTCAGTGTACCATTTCAAACAACAACAAAAATCGGTCGTAAAGTATGGGGCAATTACAATTTTTAATGCTTTTTCTGGTGCCTCCAGCGTATACAACATACGCATTACACTTACCTCGGCTTTACGCAAAATATTACATTTGTACTAATTTTAATTAATGTCATGTGAGAAGTGAAAGTTTTCTGGTACGGTAGCCTGCAAGTGGGGCTACAAGGGACATAAAAACAACAATAAAAGAGTTGGTATGAAAACTATAGATAATACCCCTTTCTATCTTATAAACCAAAGGCATGCACAGGCGTTACGTTGGTCTTCAAGACAATTAGTGCCCCCAATCCCTGGACTTTGCTCATAATATTCTACAAGGTAATATTTTTTTAAAATCTTATTTTTTTGTCTTTTGCAGCTGTGGCTTTCAACAAGTTTAAGGCTAACATGCAAAAAGAAAAGTTGGCTGAAATCGAGTCTCTGCGATTCGAGAAGGATTCCAGTGGAGTCTTGAGAAAAGGTTAAGTGGCCTACCAAATTAAGTTATCTTTTTATGCTGTGCTGTGTTACATTTTTAGTGTCCTCGTCGTCTTTGTTGCCTCCTCCTCCTCCTCCTCCTCCTCCTCCTCCTCCTCGTTGTAATAATAATAATAATAATAATAATAATAATAATAATAATAATAATAATAATAGTGATAAGAAGAAGAAGAAGAAGAAGAAGAAGAAGAAGAAGAAGAAGAAGAAGAAGAAGAAGAAGAAGAAGAAGAAGAAGAAGAAGAAGAAGAAGAAGAAGAAGAAGAAGAAGAAGAAGAAGAAGAAGAAAAAGAAGAATGAAGATCATATCTAAAGCGCCGACTCCTGAATCTAGGCCCCTGGCAATAAAATAAGATTTAAAATTAATGTTTTATGCATATTGGCCTGTTCATTGTACAACACTTCTTTCACATACACATTATATACACCTTTATCTGCCGAAAAACACATAGGCCTACAAGAAAAGACATTGTAATTACTGATCACACTTGCTGATGGAAGAAGAATAGTATGTTAAGAGACATTTATTTTCAAAAATAAGTTTTTAGAGCAGATTCAAGCGTGGTCGATATAAGCACTTCTCTTAAACTTAAATGCAGTGGGAAGAAATGGATCTCGAGCACCTGTCAAAAACGCCTCATGAAGGAAAAAAGTTTTACAAGGCACAGTTTTTTTTTTTTTTTACATTTTTTAAATTAACAGATCATAAATCTCAAGATGGAATATTATACTCATGTAATAAATCAGAATGATTTTGTGGTGCCAGCTCATCATTTTTGTAGGTACGAAAAGGAAAACAAGGAAGTAAATCAGACTTAGCATTAACAGTTTTGAAATTTTATGACATTGTAAAAGTAGAAAATAAGTACGACGCTTCTCGCTGTTCGGGCTTCATCGGGGATGTGAGAGAAAACGACAGCAACACCATAGTAACAAAATATGCGTTTGATTATTACATAAGGCGCAATTAATGGCGTGCGTCCAACATAAACATGTAGCGGAAAGACTTGAGAAAAGGACTAGCAATAGTTCTCATATCTGTATCAGTATCAAATTTTGGTCTGTCATATTACTGTCATTACTATTGTTATTATTATTATTAATAATAATAATAATAATAATAATAATAATAATTAATAATAATAATAATAATAACAATAATAGTAATAGTAATAATAATGATAATGATAATAATACTCGCAATTAAAATAATAATGATAATAATAATATCATCATCATCATCATCATCATCATCATCATCATCATTATCATCATCATCAGCAGCAGCAGCAGCAGCATCAGCATCAGCATCAGCAGCAGCAGCAGCAACAACAGCAGCAGCAGAAGTAGCAGTAGTAGCAGTAGTAGTAGTAGTAGTAATAGTAGTAGTAGTAGTAGTGGTAGTAGTAGTAGTAGTAGTAGTAGTAGTAGTAGTAGTAGTAGTAGTAGTAGTAGTAGTAACAGCTAGTTTTTGGAGAACTTACTTACTTACTACCCATTACGCCATCTGGCGTTTAGGACAGCAACAAATGATCTCCAGCTCTGTCTGTTTTGGACCATCTTGGTCAGCGTTCCCCACGAATGATTCCAGGACTTCATTTCAGACTCTACTGTGCGTCTCCAGGTCACTTTAGGTCTGCCCCTTTTGCGACGTCCTTCGGGTGTCCAGTGGAGGGCAGTCTTCACAATAGAGTCTGGTTCTCTTCTCAGAACATGTCCAATCCATCTCCATCTTCTCCTTTTTATTATGGTGGTCATGTCCTCTTGTCTACATTTATGT